TAGATTGCTTGAATAGTTTTATCAACCGTGATTAATGAAATAATTGAGTTGTTCGTCCCTTGAGTCAGAAGTTTGTTACCTTGATTTCTTTTCTTTTGTTTATTTCCTGTTAATTGAGTTTTCCTTATTATCATAGTTTAAAACAATAATACAAAAATCCATATTTGCATTAGTTTGAAGGAAACAATCTATCATTCCCTGAGGAGACGACCTTACTTCTCTACACTACTGTAGTTTGAAGTATGTTTATAATTATTTGTGTGGCTTGACACCCCATCACTCACTAGTTTTCCATCTTTACCTTCCTCAATAATTAACTTACTATGACCAGGACCATGATTTAAAGCCAAATACTTCTTACAAAACAATAAATGCCCATAGAGATTACTCGTTCCATGTTTTCTACTTCTAGCCCTATACTTAGTACTACAGTACTTACATACAACCCCAATTTCACCTTCATCATCTTTAAAAGTAGAAAAGTGATGACATACCCAAGATCTTTTGCGAGTTACCCTTCGAGGTTTTGGTATTTAGTAGGCTTAGAAGCAGCTTGACCTTCACCTTCTGGTCCTGTTTTTTCTTCCTCCTTCATTTCAATCTCAACATCAATCATTTGTCCATCTCCTTTCTGAGGTATACTTTTCAGAGTCAGAGGAGGTGAGAAATCCTCAAACTCGTCCATCTCCTCAATGTAACAGCAACATCATCAATCTGAGCCATCTAAAAAAAGGAAAAAACACAATATTAGTTTATATTTCATAGTTCGAAGTTAGTTTAAATTTCACAGTTCAAAAATAATTACAATCTTTACAAGTTTACAGCTCACAACTGCAACAGTACAACTACATCTACAAGAGATTGCCTGATTACTAGTACAACTGAAGTCACATTCAGCAGTCAACAAGCAACAGAAACTCACACAACAACTGAACAACAGTAGTCAACAATCACAATTGTCACATATTCACATTCAGATTCAATCAAAGCTTACAAAGTACATAAAACAACAACACAACAAGCAGTCAGCTTACAAAATTCAATTGTCAGCTGTACAACAGTACAAGTACCAAAGAGAAATACACTCCACAGAAGGCACAACACAGAAAAATACAAAAAATAATAATAAAAGTTCAATAATTATTCCAAAAGAATATATAATTATATACCTTAAGGAATAACGAGTTGGGCTTCAGGGAAACTGGGAAAGTGAGGAAAAACCACTTTTAGCTTCGTCGATTTAGAGTTTTCAGTGTTTCTCATTAGAGACGAGAGAGCTAAGAGAGGAACAAACCCTAGCATTCACAGAGAGCTCAGATATGGAAAACCCTTAGTCAGATTAGCAGCTTATCGTCAAAAGATTGGGAGCTAAGTAGTAAGTACCCGTCATAAGCCCCTAACCAGTAACCGTAGTCCTAAGCCCCTAACCCAGATTCTGGAAAGTGGAAACTCGTCGACTATATACTCCGATAACCAACAGCTAACTAGATCTGGAAATGGAAGTGAAAAATGCCATCTATTTTGGAAGAAAATCCAAGGATTGGGTGGTCGTGGTGGTAATGGTCGAATTAGTTTTAGAATATATGGCCAGATTGATGGACAGATTCGTCGAAATCTACCGAAGGTGGGAGTTGGAAAAAAAGAGGAACGGCGTCGCCGCTCTGAAAAGAAAAAAAATTAGGGTCGTGACTAATTTGAGTATAAAATGCCTTATATACCTCTTACATTAATTTTTTTAATTAAAATAATAATAATTATAAATCGGTTATTCGGGTGGTGCCCGAATAATTCCTTCCCAACCCACAACCGAACCGCAATGTCTCTGCGGTTAGTCGGTTACACCCGTAATTACCCAAATTCACCCGCTTAATTGAACCATTTCAACATAATCGGGTTCGGTCGGGTGCTTTTTCGGATTAACCCGATTTATTGACAGCCCTAATTTCTAGATTTTTCAAAAGATAATCTTCTTCAAATTGCAAATATCTTCATCGCTCATAGGTTTGGGGTTAGTTATCCTTGAGGAGACTGGAGACTACTTGACTACATAGGCTTAGACCAACATCAAGTTCATTCTTGAACAATTGTGCTGATAAGCCCTGATCGTGGAACTACGGCATACGGGCGTTGGGTTTTGGCTCCATTTTTGTTTTAGTTATGTAGGTATCACACGAAACTAAGGAAAGAATTCCAATGCATTATCAAAGATCTTATGGATCATGCATACGGTTGAATTTAGAAACGTTAACTGATTTCTGTTCAAGTGATTTTTGTTTTCTCAGTCAAATCCATTTACACAGTCGCAAACATATTTTTTTAAAACATTGCACAAACAAAGAGATTAAGGGATGCAAACGTATTACAACGACTTTAATATTTCAGAATACTCCAATTAGTTTAATGGCAAGATTCTTTCAAACTACTTTGATGATGACTATATATAGTCAGTAACGGGAAACGGAATTCTCATTTATAATTCCCCATTCTCTCCACACTATAGATATAGTTTGCTTTAGAAACTTAAAAGGTGCTTTCGATTGAGATTCATGGTAGGTACTAGAGATATCTTAAAACAATATAATGAGCGATTAAAACATCAAGCTAATTTAAAAAATTATTAAATTATGACATATATAATAAATCGTATATAAAAAGTGGAATAGACTAGTTATTTGATATGACTATTTCGAATAGAAATCATTTTGGATAAACGGAACCGACTCTACTGCCAACCAACCTCTTGTGACGACCATTTCCCTTTTCACAAAATTCACATTTCTTTCTTGATTGTTACTGTTAATCTAGAACAAAGCAGTTTCCTTTAATTCAGTTAAAATGAAAATCGGTTCCCACCAAGGTAGCAATTGTAAATGACACATAAAGACGAGATAAAATATCTCCTAAATTTCTTCTTTTTTGTTTATTTGTTTCTTCTAAACAACTGTTTCTTGTTTTAACCATGGAAGTGGATTGGTATAACGAATATATAAAAGCCATGGGGGGCATAGATGATGTAATGGAGAATCCGTTTGACATTTCACTGGCTTAACGTACACTGTCCGTTGCAAAGTCAGCTAGGCAGCCATCCAAACGATTTGACAAGTTTCCAAACCCCGAATTTAACCCCGAATTTATTTTGCACAGTGGTGACTTTTTAACCCCGATTTTATTTATTTTGTCTTATTATCGAGTCAAACCGTCCATTGTTCCTTATAGTATTATTAATTGGTCTTTGTGATGAAGCACATTTTGTTGCCTTTCTAGTTTACGAATTAGTTCTTTTGAATTTTTTTTCCTTAATTAGAATACATCAAATTTTATGCGTAAGGAATCATGTAGGCTAGTTTATAATTTTCATGATTTTCGTATACCAAAAAATTTAGTTGAAAAAAAAAAAGATTCATTGATGATATAACATACTGTTTACCTTATTCAATTAGTCCGTTTGTAATAATGCTCCATCACCAGCCTCAACCTACAGTAAATCATTCTACTTTATGTTGTGTATCACGAAGCAGAAAAATTGATCATTACTCAAAAAGAAAAAACCTAAAGCAGGTATTGTATGTAGACTGTAGTTCAACAGTTAATCATCTAGATAAAGCGGGTACACAGGTGAATAGTCAACCATCAAGATCGGAATATTCTGCAACTTGTTGCATTACTTCTGGTAATCCGTACTTATCTTTGAAATGAGAAGTTTAATAACCCACAACATAAAATCATGGAGGGAATCAAATAATCTATAAATGTAATCTGTCAAACTGTCACAAAATTTAACTATCGTAATGATTGGTCAAATTAGATTAGTTACACTTATAACTTTTGAAGATGTGGACTCATCTTTTTTTAAAATATATATAAATAATAATGAAAAAATATGGCAGCGAATAGACTAAACACTACATTAAGTACAATTTTAATCATAAATTAAATTTTAATCCTTATTCAATCTAACTGATCGACGAACTTAAACTTTAGATTTAACCCTGACTTTTTTCGATCGATTGTGATAAGTTAGATCAGAAATTTCACAGTAAAAAAACTCTTGTTCTATTACGTATTTCACATCGAAATCATCATCTTCTGAACCATTAAAAGTATGATTTTGTTCTCAATCGGAATGTATTTCCTCAATTGAAAAACTTGGCTTTTTAGACACTATATGCTTCTCTACCTCCGTATCACTTTGGATAAGTACTTTTCCGTAATTGGGCATGAGCTTGGGAGCAAAACTTGGAGGACTCATCTGTTTGTTCTTTAACTAATAGAATCTTTACTGAAAGTAGTTGCTGTTCTTGTTGAAATTGAGAAGAAAATAAATTGTTCCTTTTAGCCCGTATAATTGAAAAGTAAAAAGAAACGGCACGAAAGACTAGAAACTGAAGATAAAGGTCAAATTATCTGTAGCAGATTACTCTATATATTATGGAATAATAAGAATAATAAGCGTTTTCTAAATAATTTTTTTGTAATAAATCAGATTATATATGTTATTTTGAGGTTAAAAGAATAATACATAATTTACCTATTTGTGGGATGAGAATTTGTAAAAAAAGGGAAAATATAATGATCTTCTACGACCATTAAATTTTTGTCTTTGGTTGCTCTATAGTTGAGGCCTCAATCGAAGAGGAAGAAGGCGAGTTGCAATCATCCTTATAGGCATGGAATAATAATCCATATGTTTTTCTTTTGTTTTTTTTTTCCCCTTTGTTTTGATGGGGGTATCTCTTATAGTCCATATGTTAATTAGTTTATGCTAAATAAGAAGTGCCCTGACTTACCCACTCAAATGCCTTCCGAAAAAATTGAAAAGTACTGAGTAAACCTTCATTTTCAAGATTACTTATGAGTATATGCATCATCGACATCGTTGATTACTATAAAAGCCCTCCTCTCACTGCATATCTTTCCACCCCAAATCAAAGTTTGTTTGTTTCCTTCACTAAAAGCATCATTCTTACAACTTTTCTTTTGGAACTCACAAAAAAACTAGTATGGGTTCTAAGGGCATCAAACTCATTGCCCTTTTGCTTCTCCTGAACCTTATATGCTTTACTTTCGTAAGTGCCTGTCATGACAAAGATTGCTCAAAAAAGCCAAAGAAGCCTAAGAAGCAACATAAGGAGAAGGAAAAACATCACCCTAAACCTAAACCATGCCCGGAAACTCCGGGTTCTTCACCCGGGACTCCCAACTCCTCACCTGGAACTCCTGGTTCTTCAGCCGGAACTCCCAACTCCTCACCTGGAACTCCTGCAGGTTCTTCACCCGGGACTGGAACTCCTGGTTCCTCACCCGGAACTCCCGGTTCTTCACCCGGGACTCCCAACTCCTCACCCGGAACTCCTGGTTCTTCACCCGGAACTCCCAACTCTCCAAAACCAGGATGTCCAGAAACTCCTCCAAAACCTCAAACCCCAAAGCCAGCTCCAACTCCCGATGCACATTGCCCAATTGATACCCTAGATCTTGCAGCGTGTGCTAATGTGCTTGGTATACTTAACCTGAACATTGGATCTCAAAGCTGCTGCTCTCTTCTCGATGGCCTTGTTGACCTTCAAGCTGCCGTTTGCCTTTGCACTACAGTCAACCTCAACGTTGGCGGCATTATCAACTTAAGTCTTCCAATTGACCTCAGTCTTCTCCTTAATGATTGCGGCAAAACCTGGCCCAAAAATTTCAAGTGCCCTAATTAAGGTCACCAAAAATTGCTCTTTCTCCAAATTTGGTGCTGTGCTTGTGTGTCTCTTGCTTTAACCGTTCGATGTGTTTGTTTTCGCAAGAATTTGTTTGTTTGTTTGTTTTGTTTTGTTTTTTTTTTCATGGTGTGATGCCGGCTTGTAGACCCCAGCTCCATTGCCACACTGAAGAAGAGCATTTCCTTAGAGACAGTGTGAAGCCATTTCCAAAGCTATGCATGCATGCAAATGAAATTTACAGCTGCAAGGAAGCGAATTGTAGAAAGCTGGGATTGTCTAGTTTTAATTCCTTTCGTTTTGATTTGTTTACATTGTTGTATCGCAATTGTGTCATTCTCTTTTTGTTCGTTTTCTTAATCAGTTAATAAAAGAGCTATCACCGGTCGATCTTCTTTCTAAATTTGGTAATTCTACTGGCTTCATAGTTACGTTATAAAATGGTCTACACAACGATTCCTTGAGTATAATTGTCCTGATTTTGCCTTCTTCGTTCTCACTACGCATTATATATTATCATTTTTTTTTTTAAGTTGAACCACATTGGTAATAAGTGGGAATAGTGTCCGTTTTATTCATATAGAAATAAAGACGTACAATGGCAGTGTTAAGAACTTGCCCAAGGTTGTTTATCATTAAATCATTCTGACAAACGTATTTTCTTCATATGACATAAACAGAATATTATGTAACAATGTCCCTAAGGGTGCGTTCTCTATGCTGAAATGGGAATTGATGTATCGAAATGTTATTAGAATTCCAATCATTATAATGTTCAGTAAACTAATAAATGACAAGGAATCAAGTACCATATGTTATATAATGATGGGAGTGAAGTAATCTTATATATTTAATTTGTACTAAATATATCTTATTATTAATTAAATAAAAAGTTAGAGAAACCATTATAGTTGATGCTAATAGAATTGAACGCCGTGAAATAATAAGAATATGAAGATTAATAAATTATTTAGCCGATCCTAAGTTCTATCAAATTAGTCAACCCATCAGTTGGACTGATCCATTCATTAAAGAAGGGTCAGACCATGAAATTAGTTTCCAATCAACTCTTGTTTAAGAGTTGGATAAAAAGGGGTAATTCATAAAACTCCCTTTCGGTATTTAAAACTACAAAAAGATACACCCGTTCTTAATAAATGTTTGAAAGACCCCCTTATGCTTTTCCGGAATTTGCAAAATGTTGATGGCCAGTGTGATCACACGCCTGAAATGCAAGTTGGTTTTAGGGAATGCAAGTCGGTTAAATGATTTGGGCTGGTGAATAAAATATAAATCAAGCATTTCCAAGCCTACAAAATTCTACAAGGGAGTTAACATGTATTAAATCTCCCCTACGTTGTTAATGTTCCACTACCGGCTCTATATACTTGTATATTGCTAATTGATACAATTGCTACAATTTATATTAGCATTAACATCAATAGTATATAATTTCATTTTACTAAATTTCTCTCGATGTCTTCAAAAATTAGTACATTTTGTCCTATAATTCGAATTTAACAAAATATAATTTTTCTTTTGGGAGAATAAAATGATAATTTTTCTTTTGTATATATATCCTAAAAACAAAAGTTGAAAGTAGATGTAATCGAAGATACTGTGAGATTACACATTAGCTGGCGACTGGCGTTGAAAACTAAGTCAAACATTAACAAGCCATCTGAAGAATATGAAGTTCCGGACCCGTAATTAGTTGCCTAATATATAGCCAGTTCATATAGTAGTGACATCTTAACAAAAATAATTTTTTAACCACTAATTTACTAATAACGCCGATTGTGAATCATAACCCTATATATATATATATATAGAGAGAGAGAGAGAGAGAGAGAGAGATAGATAGATAGATAGTGTTATCCCAATAATTATTTATTACTGGGATGAGTTATTTTTCAAGAACTAACTTATCTTACTAATAGGTGTTGGAGGGTTGAGTTTGGTATGATTATTATCACCGGGAAGTCGGTACTTATGACCTCTGGATTAATTTACTTTATTATAATTCTTATTAACCAATCTTAATAAGTTTTCAATGAATTGTGCATACAAAAATATTCATCCACATGGATCACCCGACTGCAACTAAAGCAAAATCAACTCACAGTAGTGTATGCAGTTCACAAACCAGCATTGATGAATGAAATATTGATCAATTAATTGGCAAAAATTATTACAAGAAAAAGAATTCTGAGATAACCCTTAAAGAAGTGTTATCCTGGTTGTTAAGTTAGAGGTGCAAATTAACTTCTGCTTTTTCTTGAAAAAAAAAAAGATTACATATCGTGTGATGAATTAAATAGCCAATCGTCAAGATCGGAACCTCTTAGTTGTTGCATTATTGGGTTTATATACAAAACATATTTGGATATTTATTTCAGATAATCGTGGAGGGAATTAAGTTAGTGTAAGTAGAATCCGTTACACCAACTAATACTGATCTTAATGATTGATCATGATTTTGATTAGTTGCACCTTTGACTCTCAAAGAGAATTAAGTGTTGATCCTTAGTTCCCATCCTTTGTTGCACAAAAGCTTTGATTGCGAGTAATAAACTAATCTGCCTTGAGCTGATTTTCACGTGTAATACTTTAATCCCTCTCTTATTTACACACAACATTTTAGATTTCTCTGCCTTAAAAGGGAAAGGAAAACAAGCACACAAACAAACTTACACCCTCAAGACAAAAAAACAAAATTAAGAGACAAGGGGAAAAAAAATGAAATTTAATAGTTGTAATGGGCAAATTATACTCCATCCAGCCAGAAAAATAGTCCATATTAAATTTTGAGATTTGTACTAATATTAGTACAAATTTAAAAACCCAATATGGCTTTTTTTTTTTATAGAGAGAGCATTATTTTTTTGTGACGAAAAGAGTAAGTTAACTTTAATAAGAGATTATAAGTGTTTATACAGTCTTATGACAATGGGTACGCATCTTTAGATGTGTGAATTAGTAAATGTCATCATCATAAACTCGAATATATCAAAAAGGCAAATCTGCTACCCATAAATCCTCCATTATAAGTTTTTGTTGTGACAGCTGATGCTATGGAGCTATCAATTGAAGAAGATAGCTTGTAGCAATCATCCTCGCAGGCACAACAATATAAATTCAAATCCAAATGTTAGTCAAGACCAAAAATTTGCTTCTGTGTTACCAACTCATATAACCTTAGAACAAAAAGAGGACCACAGATATAATATATTATCATTTTTATTTTCTAATACAGAAGGAGGTATTCATGTGTACTAATTAATCAAACCTTCATTTTCAACATCAATTAACAAAGCATTCCTAGCTAGCTCCTACACCACTATAAAAACCAAATCACCTCAGCACAAATTCTCTCATCCGAAAGCAAAGCAATTCTTCTCTCTCTCTCTCCTATTGTCCTTCACTAAAATTAAGCATTCTCTTTTTTAATTACTTCTCTTTCAAGAAATCAAACTTAGCTACTACAATGGCTTCCAAGAGCATCAAACTCCTAGCATTTCTGCTCCTCCTGAATCTCATTTGTTTCACCCTAGTGAGCGCATGTGGTGATAAATGCCCAAAGCCAAAGCCAAAACCAAAGCCTAAATGCCATGAAAAGAAACATAAATCCCACAAACATGAATCTCCCAATCCACCAGCTCCGACCCGGGGAGCATCTTGCCCTGAAAATGTCCAACAACTTAAAGCATGTGCCGGTTTGCTCGGATCTTCTTCCGGAGAATGCTGCTCTCTTATTGGTGGACTCGCGGACCTTGAAGCCACGGCTTGCCTTTGCACCGCCGTCAGAGCCAACGTTTTCAACCTTGTTGAGTTAGACATTCCAGTTCGTCTCGGTTTGATCCTTAATGGATGTGGCAAGACCTTTGCCGATGGTTACAAATGTGTCTGAACGGAATCCTTCGAAGGAAAAATAAAATAAAAATGTGTGTTTCTGTTTTTGTGGTTCTTTAATTATTATTGTGTGTGTGTGTGTGTGTGTGTGTGTGTTTTGGCATTTTTGCGTGGTGCAGAGTTCCAGCTTCATTGTTCGTTATGGAGTGAGGATGATTGTTACGACGAGCTCTCGATTGAATGTCTAACCAATAAAAAGAGAAGAGCACTTCTTTAAGGAGCTAATTAATATTGGTGAAGCACATTTCCGAAGTCATGCAAATTAAGCGCTCTCCTAGCTGTCGGGTTTTTGGGATTTCTCTAAATTTGATTGTTCATTGTTTTCATTCTTCATTTTTTTTTTTTTTTTGGTTTTTTTTTTTTTTTGAGGTTTGTTGTATTAAGAGATCATGTTAATCTCCTGTTATTGTTGAATATTTATCAATTACTTAATGAGATTTTTGTGTGGTATTCCCTTTGTCATTTTTTCATTATATTGACCATCAGTCGATCACCAACATCAGTTTTATCCCATTTCTACTCTCATTAGGTTCTACGGTGGTAATTGACTCAGTTACCACCTTTCTAAATATTGGACCCAGCTTTCTCCAAGACCCGAGTTATGGTGAAGTCTGTAATTAATGTAGAAATTCCCGGCAAACCAATGCCAGAAATATATGAAATTAACCAAAGAAAACTGAAAGTTAATCCTTGCGTAAAAGATAGAATATCTGGAAAATTGTACTCGTATAGAAAGAACGCGTCTTGAATAGAATATTAATCGTTAAAAGAGGAAACAGAAAACTTGACTGTACTTTTGCCAGTTGACTCTAAAAGTTCGATGATGTCAGCATGTTCTTACACATTTCCAAATTCCAATCGTCATCAACGGTCGTTTAAAAAGGTTGAACTCAAGTCAAGGGGCTTTTCGTAATATTGTGATATCGGGCTGAAAAAAGTTGTAATTCGCCGGTCTTGTTTTCCGAAAGATTCAGAGGTGGTTCAAATATGTACTTTTTTTTTTTTTTTTTCTCTTTGCTTGATATGATTATTTTATTTGAAATTCGTTTTTAGGACAACTTATAGGTAAAAATAAAAATTCAAGTTAGATATATGAAGTATAAATGTAAACTGGTTCCTCTAGAATTTGGTCCGATGCGATACCTTTAAAGTTCAAAGCTGAACCATAATTAAATTTGATAAATTCTCCTACTCATCATATAGATTATGTATGTTCTTATCCACAATCAAAACAACAGCTAAATAAATGACTACGAAGGGCTTAAATTGACAAACAATATCTCTGAAAATGTAATGAATATTCAACACCCAAAAAGGTACCGCGCCGATACGACCCGGCGTTACTCGAAATAATACTTTTGAACACCGACATTTAGAAAATGTAATCAATGAATATTTAGGTGAATTTTGGACGTACGAAACCCACAATTTCAACTAGAAAAATTCATTCAATTGTCCATATGTGTCTCTAAATTTTTCTCCATTTTTTTTATTCTGCATCTCATGATATATAATTGTTTTCCAACCCAACACAAAAGCATTATTGTTTTTTGAATAGATAGTGTACATATCTTAAACACAAAACCATCATACGTAAGATCTACAAACTAAAAATTCTCCCGTATGTACCATATATAGTAACTTTAGATATTAGCCTAAGAAAATTATAATTAGACCAAACAAAATCTTTTTAGTGTAAACCTGACTCTTAATTATTTCTTATTTATTTTTCGTAATCATAGAAATCCTAAACTGTAAACGTATAAGGCAATGCACTAAATTTAGCCTATATCAGTTTGAAGTAACTTCGAAAATCCACCAGGCCAATTAAACTTGTCTGGGAAGTAGTAATAATTAGCTATCGTCTCGATATCACTGACACACAACTTCATTCATGAAGTTTGCATTGTATCAGTATCATGAAAACAAATGCAATTATCGAGTGATTGAGAAGATGAAATACAATCATAAATCATTTATTAATAGCTGATACAGTTGCTCAGTGGCAATACAACAATGGTGACGATCCAGGAAAATCCAAAACATAAAATTGTCGCGCTTGAGGAAAACATGATCATTAATTCTTTGTTGGTAACGTGAACACACACACACACAGTACTCAATCAAGAAACACAGAAACAGACTCCATATGATTAACAAGGAAAGGAAAGCTTCATGGTTTTAAGCTGGGACATGTGAAACCATCAGGAAGCTTCTTGAAACACTTATCAAGGATCATTAAAACATCAGAAGTCTTTGAGGAGACTTCTTCGCAAGGCAAGCAGTAGTGTCGGGGACATTAAGTACATTGACGCAAGTACAACATTGCACCGCATCGTCACTTTTGATAGTTCCGTTAAGGAAACCTTTGCATATATCAAATAGTTTCATCTCTATACCTTTTGGACAAGTTCCTTGAGAAGGAGGCGGGGAAATTGACGGAGGTGGTGGCGGCGGACTTTTAGGTTTACGCAGTTTATGTGGTGGCGACGGCCTTTGGGGTTTAACCGGTGGGGGAGTTGGTGGTGGACTTTTAGGTTTATGGGGTTTATGCGGTGGTGGTGGACTTCAGGGTTAAACCAGTGGTGGAGGAGTTGGTGGAGGGCTTTTATGTTTATGCGGTTTATGTGGTGGTGGCGATTTTTGGGGTTTAACTGGTGGTGGAGGAGTTGGCGGAGGGCTGTGATGTCTAGGTGGTGAAGAGTGAGGGGACGGGGGAGATTGCTTTTTTGGTGGAGGCAGCGGGGAAGTTTTAGGTTTAGGTGGTGGTGATATGGGACGAGAGAGGTGGCGGTGGACTTTTGGTTTTAGGATGAGGTGGGGGCGATTTAGGTTTAGGAGGTGGTTCGGGACATTTAGGGTTTGACTTATGATTTTTCCCGTGCTTTTGTTGTTGCTTTTCGCAGTTGTCATTGTCGCATGCATGGACTAATGTAAAAAAGATGATATTGAGGAGAAGAAAATAGACTAAGAACTTGATGCTCTTGGAAGCCATTTTAGGGATCTTAATCCCCACTAGAATATGATTTGGGCTTCTTTTCTGGGATGGAAACATTTGTGCTAAAGAGAAGGTTTTTATAGTGAATAAGGACGGTGATTTGGTCAAATCTATTTTTTGGCAAACCTTGGAAGAAAGGAGCAAAACCGCAACTTCAGAATGAAGTAACGTGCAACTAACAAATCAACTTGATCAAAGCTCATTAATTTGTATTATAAATAGATTCATATGACTACATGAACTAATGGCACCAATTAAGGATTCCGAATGTGATCACTGACCGATTATTCATGGACGAGTACTATAGTTTTCTGGATGTTCTGCATCCAGTGTCTGGAATCATTTGCTGTAACTAATCTAGATTTAAGTCAATATAAATTAGAAGCATATATAGTAAGAACATGATGTAAAAGTAGGGCAGCCGCTGGCCATAGGCCCTACTCCATCACCTAAACAGCCTACCTTTGCTCAGATCCTAAGATCTAAAGTTAATCCAAAAACAGTTCATAATAATTTAGCCAAAAAATAAGATATAAACCCGACCGTGATACACTTCGAACCAACAACCTTCAAAAGAGAACCAACTTTTCTTCTCACAAAAGAAAAAGATGATCGATTGGCTGCACCATTCCGCCTTACTCTTGTAGGAAAATTCACCAAAGGCTGCCCAAAAATGGATTACTTGCGAAGAGAATTCCAAACAATCGGATTCAAAGGAAGCTTTTCTCTTGGATCTATTGATTACTGACATATCCTAATTTGCTTCAATCTAGAGGAGGATTTTCATCGTTGCGGGCTCAAAAATTTATGGACTTTTGAGAAGTATCGAATGTGAGTCATAAAGTGGACCACGAATTTCAATCCAGCATAGAATGGACCACGGATTTCAATCCAGCATACGAAAGCTCTATAGTTCTTGCTTAGATCTCCCTAGAAGGTCTCCCAATTCACCGTTTCAACAAAGACTATTTGTGGAGACTAGCTAGCGTTATCGGTACTCCTCTCCAAATTGATGTCCCTACTCTCAACATGCGCGACCATCAGTGCCACGAATTTGTGTAGAATGCCACGAATTTGTGTAGAATTGGATCTTCTCAAGGAGTATCCAATTCACATCAGATTGGGAGTTGAAGGGTCGAGTTATTTTCAATCAATTTTCTACGTGAACATGCCCCAATACTGTGTTGATTGCAAAAAAAATTGGTCATGATATTCATACATGCCGATTCCACAACGTACCATCCTCAATGCAAAAGATGGACATGCACCATTCAAAACAACAAGTCAAGCAGCCATCCCAAGAAAAGCAAAAACAACCGCAGATGTCAAGGGTGGCTTTTCGCCAAGAAGGGACATCTCAAGCCATGCGTTCACGGGTTGAGACAGTCGCGCAAGCTGTGACTCCGCAAGGAGCGACTACTGCTGGCCAGCCCCCCTTGTCAGATGCCAACTCAGGCCCCTCCAAGGTTGGGCAGCCTGCGCTGCACAACACCGAAGTTGCGCAGCATACCGACGTTGTCGTTGCAATGCCGCAGATGGAATTGGTGGCGCAAAGCCTAATAGCAGAAACCGCTGCTGTTAATCAGAGTGCCTCTCAGGATGTAGTGGCCGTCGTTGTTGAATAGGAAGTCTCCTTGAATCCGGTAGTTACACATGAATCTCCTGCTCTAACCCTCGCAACTCCAAAATCGCAAATCGCAGCCTCTGTTGATGATGATTTAGAAGCTGAAAATCGGCTAACTAATTCTGCTTCGCCTAGTTTTTTATTGCTGAGAATACAACAGCCACCAACGAAGGAACTTCAGCGGCGTCGGAAGAGAATCGGCGGCCAAAATCGGTGGAGATTCAACGGAAGCCACTGCTTGAAATTCCGCAGATGTCGTGGTCTTCTGCACAACAGACTCCCCAAATTTCAGCGTCAATTGAGCAACCAAATCAGCCTCAACCGAATCCTCCTCATTTAAGAATGGATAAGTCAAAATCGGACTCTTTTTCTCAGCAATCTTCTCCCTTTAATGAGGAAGGAATATCTTCCTCAAATAACTCTTTTAACAACCCCGTTAAAAAGTTAAATTCCGATGCTGCCCCTTTCACTTCTCAGCCACAAGTCCCTATTCTTTTGTGCTCCTGATCTCAGGCCCAATTATGGAAAGAACTCATAATCAGTAGTTATCTAAAGATGATACCGAGGTAGGAAAACAAATAGTGTCTAACAATCAAAGTTTTTCGATGGAGGAAATTCATTCTGATGGAGAACAAAATCATGCCTTTAACGGTTAAGAAGATGATGATTTTGATATGGAATATACAATGGAGCAAGAGTCTTTTTACAGTGAAATTTCTGCTCCGACATCATAATCACTCGAAAAAAACCAAGACAAAAAAAGAAAAAGATACAAGTTCGTTGGTCAGCTAGATCGAGTAAAGATTAAATTTTATTTTATGATTAAAATTGTAATTGTTATAGGGTTTAGTATATTCATTGTCCTATTTTTTCATTTATAAGATTGTTTTTCCTTAAAAAAAAAAAGTGTATCATACCCTAAAACTACGTGAATTTTGACATTTGTCTCCCTCATTGTACCAAAAAAAAAAAATTATGTATGCACCAGTACTACGTTTCTTCGAGAAAAATAGGTCAAAATATAATTAAGTAAAAGCTGACTGCCTACCTAGGGCGAGTTCTTCAGCGGTTGTTGTGATTGTCCTGAGGGATCGAGAGATTTAAAGTAGTTCATATTCAATACATTAACCCCTGTAGTCGCCCAAGATTCCTCGGACAATTGCTTTTGGCATCTCCAAAAGGCTAAAGCCCCAGGGCACTTGAAATAATAAAATGATCATGAAATGCAGCTCAGAGATATAGATCGAGAAAGCGCATTTGGAATTGGAGCAACTCCCTGCCAGTTTTGTTTCACAATCTTGAGACCCAGAATTCGTAAGAAATTTTCACTTGCTCAAGGTTGTCTCCTGCAGGCGTAGGAACATTAAAGTTAACTCCCTCGCCAAATCATTTTCCAGCTGAAAATCAAATATGACTCAATCGTTCATAATTCTTCCAAAGTTAAAAATTTGTGTAATAAAGTTAGAATATGTCCTATGTGGTTAGTAGGAGACACCGGAATTAGTCTCCTGCTTTGGTGATCTTTTGTAAGTCCATGTGATAAGGAAGTGATATACATACTTATCCTTGTTGGTAATGAATTTAACCTTTTTTACCAAAAAAAAAAAACATTAAAGTTAACTTTCACATATATATACATATATATTATACTCCCTGCGGTCCTTATTATAAGGCATTTTGATTTCGTCCTAGGTTTAATCTAGGATGTCTTCTTTTCAATTGGAAAAAAAACTTTAAAAATATATTTTCACATTCCGTATGTTCTCCTAATTATTATGAAATACTTTTAAAAGTTTTATTCCAATTAAAAGTACATTGGACGAAATCAAAATCCCTTATAATAAGGACCGAAGGGGAGTATTATATAATCCAAAAAAAATAAAAAATAAAACAAACCGTTATGGGGAAAGAAAAGAGTACATGAGGAAAGATCTGAAGCTTTTACCTATATAGTTGCTTCAAGTTTGCCTGGCATGTCAGAATTCTAATTAATCAAAGTAACAAACACTTAGTGCATAATATATCAAAACAAAAAATTGTCTAGCATGCTAGAGTTGGAAAGTGTAAAGTTATATTATATTTCCTTTTCAGCTATCACACAATTGAGATTGAAACATCAAACGCGTGATTACGAAGAATCAAACTCATTCGTTTACTCTCTTACGACTGAATTCCTCATTTTGTTGTAAACTATGGGCCACTTCAATTTTCCAGAAATTTATTAGAGCTTGGCTATTTTTTTTTTCCGGATAAAAATTTGAATTTTATTACTTTTCAAACAGCATATGTACAACCTTTCCCATATTAGAGCTTGGCTTTAGGAAGCCACATCTATTATTCAGTCAGCAAAAATCCTCAAATCCAGTAGTATTTCTCTTTTACCATATCTTTGTATGATTTTGGTCCTTAATTTTCTTTTTTTTTTTGAAAATTAGGATAAAAGAACAAAAAGATCGCATATGAAATGTGACGGACAAAAACAAAGGTTTGTATTAATTCGTAAGGGACCAATAAATTTATTTAAATAAATGTAAATTAAGTACACTTAGGGCACGTTACTAAACCAATCTATCTTCATATATGTAGCTCAAAACTCAAAAGACCAACACTGAGCTATATTTTTCATATATTTTTCTACTCAACCAACCATAATAAATACAGTATCATACAACAAACAATAATAATAATAACAGCCAAATATATAATTTGTCAAGAAAATGAAGGATTGGTTCAATGGTAAAACTACCCTTCTTTAAGAGTAGGTCATGAGTTCAATCCTCTACTCTAACAAAAAGTGAGGGGTTGGCTCACACCTTGCTCATTGGCACCTTTAAGGGCTTGTTATGATTAATCCACTTATGAAACCCTGATTTTACACCCGAGCTTGTCACCTCAGACTTGTCTAGGATGGTTTACATCCCACTGTGATGTGCATACTATTGCAGTGAGCGTGGATTTATCCAGTGACGAACAAAATCTCAAACAAGCATAATGAAAATTTCGCTAAAATTTCCAACTAAATATGAGCCTCCGAATTCAACCCAGAGGAATTCATTCAAGAATTTCAGATCCCTCTAATGCTTTGTTCTTTTTTTTTTGGGGGGGGGGGGTCCTTTTCTCTCCAAAAGATCGAAATGGCATTATCCCTGGAATTGTTTCGCCCTAACATAAAGGGAACTTATTTTTGGTTTTTTTTTTAAAAAAAAAAGAGGATACCAATTGTAAAAAACTTCGAAACTCCATATGCGCGTGTATGTATATAGCAACAGTTGGATATCAAAGAAAATTTGAAAGAAAGATTGCTTAAATTTTTTAAATATTTAGCCTATATGAAGTTGAAGTAGCTTCGGAAAAGTTTCGGTTCACTTGAAATGGTCAGTAAAATCAGCATGGAAAAAGATAAATAAATAAGTAGTCCCGAAATGAGTGTGCGAACGGAATATAATAACTAGAATAATTTATTATTAATAATAACTGCTACAAATTGCAGAGTCTCACAATACAACATTAATGGTGGGATCCAAATCAGAAAACGTCGCGTTTGAGGAAAACACGATCATTCTCGCTCTTTGTTCATCATGGAGAAAACACAAACACTCATCTAGGAAACAAAAACGAAGACACAAATCCCAAGGAAAAAGAACTTTCAGGGTTTTAGTTGGGGCATTCGAAATCATCTGGAAGCTTCTTTTTACACTTTTTAAGGATCTTTGAAACGTCGGAAGTCTTTGAGGAGGCACCTTTGCAAAGGCAAGCGGCAACGTCAGCGTCGTCATCCACTAGGTCAACGTAGTTGCAACATTTTTTAGCATCGTCCTTGTTGATGACGTCGCCCTTTGTGTAACCACGACATTTGCGAAATTGTTTGGTTTCAATACCCTTTGGACAAGTTCCCTTAGGTTTATGCTTTTTATGTGGTTTCTCCGGTGGTGGTGGTGGGCTTGAAGGGGAAGGCGGCGGAGGAGTGAGGGGAGAAGGCGGAGTTGGTGGTGGACTTGAAGGTTGAACTGGTGGTGGGGTAGACGGGGGGGGAGTTAGAGGTTGAGGTGGCGGCGAGAGAACGGGAGTTGGCGGTGGGCTTGACGGCTGAACAGGTGGTGGCGTAGACGGAGGCGGCGTTGGGGGCTTAGGTGGTGGCGAGAAAACGGGAGTTGGCGGTGGGCTTGACGGCTGAACAGGTGGTGGAGTAGTTGGAGGTTTAGGTGGTGGAGAGAAAATGGGAGTTGGCGGTGGGCTTGACGGCTGAACTGGTGGTGGGGTAGTTGGAGGTTTAGGTGGTGGCGACAAAACGGGAGTTGGCGGTGGGCTTAACGGTTGAACGGGTGGCGGGGTGGACGGAGGGGGTGTTTTAGGTGTAGGAGGTGGCAAGAGAGGAGATGGAGGAGATGGCGGTGGAGTAGACGGCGGGGGACTTTGAGGTTTAGGTGGTGGCGAGAGAATGGGAGTTGGAGGTGGGCTTGATGGTTGAACTGGTGGTGGAGTAGATGGAGGGGGTGTTTGAGGTTTAGGTGGTGGCGAGAGAACGGGAGTTGGCGGTGGGGTAGACGGTGGTGGTGAGAGAGGAGTCGGGGGAGTTGGCGGTTGGGTAGTCGGAGGGGGTGTTTGAGGTTTAGGTGGCGGCGAAAGAGGAGTTGGTGGTGGAGTAGACGGCGGGGGACTTTGAGGTTTAGGTGGCGGCGAGAGAGGGGATGGGGGAGTTGGGGGTGGACTCGAAGGCTGAATAGGTGGTGACGGTGGTGGTGTAGATGGCGGAGGACTTTGAGGTTGTGGTGGTGGAGAAAGAGGTGAAGGGGGCGTCGGCGGTGGACTTTGAGGTTGAGGTGGTGGTGGTTTAGATGTCGGAGGGCTTTGAGGTTGTGGTGGTGATGGTGGTGGTTCCGGACATTCCGGCTTCTTATGCTTTTTCCCGTGTTTTCCCTTATGCTTTTTGCATTTATCATCGTCGCATGCACTCACTAAGGTGAAAAAGATGACATTGAGGAGAAGAAAATAGACCAATAATTTCATGCTCTTGGAAGCCATTTTGACTCTGAATCCCAAGAGTGTATTTTTGCTTGCTTTTGGGATGGGAAGATTTGGGTTAAAGTGAAGGTATATATATAGTCATTTCGACTATGAATCCCAAGAGTGCCTTTTGCTTCGCATGTATGGACGGTGATTTGGCTTTTTATTAATTGGCAAAATATGGAACAAATAAAGGATGAATCCGCATCTTCCGAGTGAAGCAGCGTGCAACTAAATTAATGAACCTGATCAAGATCTGTGTAATTCTTGTATCTGATTATGTGGGTGATAATGCTAATTTATCCACCGTCCTAAGAAGTTTAAATTTGAATTAGAGTCACGTGACAACCTGAACTAATGGCACCAATTAAGTAAATTTAAATGTGATTGTGTTACTTATAGTTCTCTATGTATTTGGTACATATTTGTGAAGTTTTATACATGAGTTTTGACTTTCGAGCTAGCCATTCTCTAACAATCTTTTCTTTTACTAGTTGACAAGATAACAAGTCAATAGATGTGACATTAAAATCTGGCTTTTACCATCGAGTGCCTACCATGAGCGAGGAAGATTAGTTACTATTGCCGACGGTGGTCATCCTGCAATATGCACAAAATCTGGCTCTCACCGCAAGTTATTAATGTCAAAAACCTAGACAAAATGACACAACCAAGCTACCACCCATTAGGGTTCTTGAAGTCCTAATCAATTCTTCAATGCCCATCCATAATGGAAAGTTACAGGGCGCAGAAGTTCCTGGAGCCCTCGAGAATAATAACAATAAAAAATAAAGGTTGACTTTCTGGTTGTTGGTCGGGTTTTTTTTTTTTTTTTTTTGGTTATATCTTGAGAAACTCGAGATAAAAAATTAGTCAGGTTATATATATTTGTACTCCCTCCATTTTAAAAAATAGTGCACATTTAATTTTGAGTTTTATACTGTTTTTCAAACAAATTTAGAAAGTTAATGTGTATTATTTTTGTGGGATGGGGTAATATATATCATCTGGAACTAGATGTTACCTGCACGATGTGCGGGATATAAAAATTTTATCAAGGTAATTATTTAAATTTTATATTACTTCGACTCTCAATTTTTTTCAGAAAAAAAATTTATTAATGAACAAAACTAATCAAAACTGAAACTAAAAGTTGCTACAAATCTATGCAAAAATATATGGTTGCTTATAAAAAAAGTCTAATAAAACTTGACGAATTCAAGACTTAATCACCGAAAAAAAAACATCACAACAAAATTAATGTCAACTCTTGACGAAACAGAAAAAGGGATAAAAATCTTCTAGTAAAGTGCAGTTTGTAAAGAAACTAAACCAACAGAGTGCAGATTGTAATAGAGTGCAATTTGTAAACAATAAAATTGATTTATTTATGAGAAAAGACAAAAACACAGCAAAGTAAGTTAGTAGGATTTTGTGAGTTCAAAAGAACGAACATCAACGAAATTGTTGATAAATCTATAATTAACAGATCGTTAATTGCAAAATATGATATATATTTTGCATGCTTTAAATCCATGAACAATAAAAACTAGAAAGTAGTATCTTAAATTTTGAAGGTTATAAGAAAAAATAGAATAGAAGAATTACTCTACCCATATAAAAATGCATCATTAATCAAGCCTACTGAAAAATTAATGTGAAACATTCTTGATCTCCCAAATTCGATGACCTCGCCAAAAGATTGCTCTATTTGGATAGCAGATTTTCTCCATTATCTACCATCATAGAAAGTTCATGCAATAAGTCTAGGTCTCAGGACATATTGAAATTAATTAAAAAACAAAATAAGTATTTTTTTTTTCTAAGCATAAAATTCATTGAGGTTGATTTGTAACATTTTCTCTTGTTTTTGGCTATATTTATTTAACCATCGGGTACAAAAGAAAAATCAAACCTTATGGAGAGCCTCATTGTCCTAAAGTTGATGAATTTTCAACTCCGGCAAACTCTGGAAAATAGTACCAAAATAATGAGAAAAATATTATTTAATGAATACCCTGAAAGTAGGTGTAAGAAGAAAATAATACATACTCATCATCATATAACTAATAGAGGTTGAATATCTGTTCAACTACAAAGCGAATAAAGATCTCATTACCCATAAAAGCATAATAATCATCCTCGTCAATACATAAAAGCATTATCAAACTTGTTGATATATGTTCATGCACATTGAGTAATCAACAAAGAAACAGTGTTGAACCTGATGAAACTGAGGGATTTAGAATTGAGTAGTGAAACGAATAGAATCATGGATGTAAACGGGAGAAAGGAGTATTAAAGGAAGAGAACTTGTTATTTTATATTTTTAGAAAATCATACATATCTCTTAATTTTGATCCCCTTTAATCGGCATTGATTGTCATCTCATCCATTCGATGATTCTACAACCACAATATCAAAATTCAAAATTTGAAAAAAATAGTCTTAATAATGGAAAATCTTATCATTGCTTTGTGAGCCTCATATCTGGAAATTGGCCCCATTTGATTTAATATAATTGAATAAGTTAGCATTTCCTTTTTTTCTCTCCGCATTTTTATCCGGATGGAGTTTTTTTAATTTATAGTGACGGTCTATTTTGATAATTTTATTGAAATTTGAGGATTCACTCACAATTGTATTAACTTTTTTTTAAGAAGATGTCTTATAAAATGACACCTAGGATTTTTGCTGATGTGGCGCTATGGAGATTTCTTTTTGGTTTCTCTCTCTGGTTTTTCTCTTAGTATAATACTATAGATACTATAGATTTATAATAAAAGAATTCCTAAGAAAAAAAGAGAGGTGTCTAAAGTTTATAATTCCGATCCCCAACTTTCGGGATTTCCTAAACAAACCCTTGGAAGCGTTTAATGCTTACAATAATCCACAAAAAATTTCAAATTTTAAAATTCTATGATATAATATTTATTCTATTTACAATCTGTATAGGAACAAATTAATCAAGACTATATATGTAGATTGGATATATTTGTTTTTGAATTTCATATCAAATCAGATTGTATAATGAATAAAATTAATTCTTACCTTTTTTGGGTGACACATAATGGAAGATTTGAAGATTTTCCGTTTTTATTTAATCTCACAATTACAAAATAGAAAGTTTTTGTTGATTATGGTTTTTGCTGATTTAGTAGTTTTGTTAATTAATGGTTCATATATTCAATTAATTTCAGATTGGTAACAAATGAATAACTGAAAATTTAGAGGACATTTGGTGTAATTATTGAAAATAGTTTTTGTTGCAACCAATTGAAAACTGACATATAGGATTTTGTCCTATGTGTCAACGTAGTAAGAAATTTGATTCCCTTTATCTAGTTTCTCTCTTAGTATAATACTATAGATTAGTTGTCCGAGATTCCTCGGAGAATTTTTTTTTTTTTTTTTCTGCCTCTACAAAAGCCCCCATACCTTGGGATGACAATCAAGTAAGAGGTTACATTTGGGTTAGGAGCAACTCAATGCAGGGAATTTGTTCCACAATCTTTGGGACCAAGAACGTGCACAACGTAGTACTAGCTCTTGGTTGCCTCCGGGTTTAACAACATTAAGGTCAGCTTTAATTTAATTATTTTCGCATTCCATCTCTTAATTATACATATGGTCTGATGTGGGCCTGGTAAAATATTGGTTCTCGATTTCTAAGAAATTGGAGTTCACACTGATTATAGCTACGATGGCCCGGAAATTACGATTTTCTCGAACCCTGCGGACGATTTGTTTCTTCCTTCAGATGTGATTGACTTAGCTACTGAACATTCAGGAAAATAGTTGTTAAATGGCTTGTTCGTGTTTCATAATTTTGCAAATGCATGATACGTGAATGGAAAAAAAAAAAAAAGAAGAAGAAATGATAAAGTCTTCTAGAAACAAAAGATTGAGTTGGCTTTTCATGCATTGTTGCTGGAAAGTGGAAACTCTAAAGGTAGCCACTCGGGTTTTTATGTCATAACATCGGGTTATATGCATCTGAATTATATATTACTTGCGAAAATATATGTCAAGAATGCAACAAAAACGATGACTGTATCCAATGGTTTGACTCTGTTTTACTTCGTCGGTCAGAAACTGTCAACTCTAAAAAATAAAAAGAGTTGTATACTTTCTCTACAGATGTTATACTACCTCCGTTTACTTTTATTGGTTATTTTAGGTTGAATCTAAAATTTTTTCAATTTATAGCACTTTATTTTCAATACAGTATTAAATATAATTTTTTTTAACTTCATACTTATTTATCTCTACTTTTGATAACATATATTAATGACAATTACCTATTTTTAATGCTCTAATTTTAAATTTTTATAGAGTTTCAATACTTTTAATATGAGTAAAAAAGATAATATACTTAAAAAATATCAATCATTATTTCCTTATTAGTTGCGTAACTCCTAAAACGACAGATAAAAATAGTCAGAAGTAATACACACACATATATATGTGTGTATATATATATAGGGAGCGGTTAGAGTCCCGTTATGGGACGATTCCGTTTTAAGATAACAATTGTCAGATTAATGATGTTAATTAACAACCGTAAGATTAAAATGAGAGTGTATTATAATGACATACATCTAAATACACTTGATCATATAAAGGGAACCTAGTACAAGTTTAACCGGTTTATTACTAAAAACATTTTTGTTTAGCTCCTTGGCAAAATCCACATAAATTCAATACATTATTCCGAAAGCAGAACATGGCAAAATCCAAATAACAAAACAAAGGATAAAGTATAACACAGTAACAATTTCATTAGGGAGATTCCCTGGTGGGAATTGCAGCAGAGGAAGAGTAATTCGATGGGTCCCTTAGCCTCGTCGTGACTGTTCTCGGGATCAATCTAGTGAATTTGGACATCTTGGAATCTCGAAAGTTATCAAAGATGAACGGAATGGCGCTGCACCGCTTGAAAGATTTTGCTGGAGATGGGTTCGATGTGGCTGACTGAATGGAAATCTAGGATTGTAATTCCTAAACTGTCCCTCGAG